GCTCGGATTGGCCCAAGCGCGCATGCTCTCGGCGCCCCCGCTCGGGCGCGTTCGGCTCGGTTCGGCTATTTCCGCCTCTTTGTTGTACTAACTCCCGACCGGAATAATTTTTCCCCCTTCTAACCTTCTTCTGGTTCTCGTTTTCTTTTTTTTTTAAACCCCCCAGTCTCTTCGAGGGTCTAAGGGGAGCGGGCTCCCTCCCCCGTCATCCACCCGCGTGGCCGGCGCCGTCCTCGTTGCTGCTGCTGCCGCTTCTTCTTCCTCCTCCTCCTCCTCCTCTTCCTCCTCCTCCCCCAGCCAGGTCAGTGTCTTTCTCCTTTGGGCTGCCTCCTTGCTCTCCCCCCTTCCTGCCTTCCTCCTCCTCCTCCTCCTCCTCTCCTCCCGTCGGTCCAGACCTACCACGGAGGCCCCACAGGGGCGGGTTCCCTCCCGCCGTTGGGCCAAAGGAGTTGGTGGGTGGTGGAGGTCTTTGCGAGGAGCCCCCCAGCTCCTGGGTGGCGGCGGTGGGCGCCTGCCCCCCTTTCTCGAGAGGAGGGACTGGTGGGGGGAGCCTTGGGCCAGACCCCTTTCCCTCTCGTGCCCCCTGCCTCTGAGCCGGGGTGGGGGGAAATCCTAATTTGGGGAGGTGGATTTCAAGGGCATCTCTCTAACTTTCTGGGACTGCAGCAAATACTTCCAGGGGGTGGGGTGGGCATTTCCCTGATTCAGAGTTGGAGACTTTCTGCCTTTTCCTGCTGGGTCCTCCCGGATAACTACAGTGCTCTCCCCCAGTCAACCATGGCTATTCTAATGTATTTTTAAAATCCTGCCCCCCTCCCCCAGGACTTCTCTTCCCCTCTCTTCTCCCCCCTTCAGTACTGAAGTACTATTGCCTTCTTTTTTGCAGAAGCCATGTGTCCCCCCCTTCATGCTGTAAAAAGAAACCTTACCCTGCACTGAAAAACTACACTTAATTTTGTCTTCTTTCTCACCCCACCTTTCCGCCCCCAAATTATGCCAAGAAATAGTCTTGCTTGCTTGCCTAGTGACTAAGGGCTTGTTCACCATCAGTGCCGTACTTGCATAGCAGTGCCCATTACCGCTCAACTGGTAAGCTTGCCCTACAAGTTTAGCTGTGTGAAAAAAGAAGAAAAGAAATAAAGTGTGATCGGTTGTGTTCATCGGGTAGGACGAGAGCTCTGCTGGGGCACGATTTAAGGTTGTGGCATACTTGTAAGTCTTCAGTTAATTTGCAGAACTCTTGACTCAATAGCAGCAGTAACTAACTTGTAGTTCGCCTGTATCATGCCAGGGTGGACTTTAAAAGTGTTCATGGCCTCGAGTGTCTGCCTACGTGAGCGTACTTGGTTTTGCTTCTGGGGGATGGGTGTACTAAAAATGGTAGATATATATCGGGTAGTTTAATAGCAATATGATTAACTTTTAAATAATGTGTTCTGAGTTTTAGACTTGTGCTTCTTGTCGTAAGGTATAATTGCTGAAGAAAGCCACTTTTGTAGCTTCAAACTGAGTTCCTCCTGATTATGTTAAAATCACTTGGTTGGCATTTAAGTTTTGGGTTGCTATGGTAATGTAATGGTTAGAATTGGGTGGTAAATACATAATCTTCATAACCAATTATGAGTTGCTGTAAATCTCAGATGCTCTGGAAAAATTACCTTAAGACTTTCTATAATCTAGTTTCAAAATTTTTACTATGTTTAACAAATGTAATACTGCATGGAAAAGAATAATGTGAAACTAATAAGATTTGGGTTTATTCATATATTCTTTTCTAGTAGTGCCTAATTTCATATTGCAACTTATTCTTGAACTCATCTCATACAGTACATACATACACACTCCATCTCCTCCCCCCCCACAACACACATCACCTGAATATAGCTTGTAGTATTGGTTAAAATGTTAACGTTCTCATCCACGTTTTCTAGTATCCTCATTCAGAAGTTTTTATTTTGCTTCAAACCTCTGGTGACCTGTTTGACCAAGGTGTTTGTAATGTCGAAGATCTTGTTGATAGATGAGACATTTTTACATAGTCCTGGACAAATCTTACTATTCAAAAAGAGAAGCCTAATTTAACTATCCCAACTGTTTAATTTAATTGGAGCTTGTATGTATTAGATTTAGAATGCGTCTCCTACCCCATAATGCATGAACCTGTTGCATGTATGTGGTTCGTGCACTGCATCTATACTTCAGAAATCTGGACCTGTAAAGGGTCTAAAGTATAGTTTGCTGGAATTTGTATAAATGAAATTAATGAATATTGTGGTGATATCAGAAATGACCTAATTTTAAACTTCTTATCCTTTCTTTATCAACTTTTCTGCTAAGGAAGTTCAAAGGATTCCTGGCCATGTTTTAGGGCACGCTGTCAGTTCATTTGGCACATTAGTCAAGGCTGTTGGTCCCCACAGCCCTGTGCAAACTAAGAATACTCCTTTGAATATTCACATAACATCTGTGCTTTCCAGTGGGAGGTGGGGGTAATATGATCCATCTGTACTGGTGCTCTGATTGAAGAATTTCTGATAAGCCTGTGGAAACCTGTGGTCTAACATATATGATGTATTAATCAGTTGTGTGTGTTTTTTAATATAAAAGCTTTCTATTTTCTGTTCACATTAAAAACAGCCTCATTTTATTATTTAAGTCTTCTAAGACAGTATGTCTAACCAATAACATTCCTGTCTTTTCAGTTCTAGGTTAACCCTTTCCCATTATCTTAGGCATTTTAGGTATTTCAGTAGTCTCAGTATTTCATGAGTATTTTTTTATTCCTTGGCATGTGGAATTAACTCTTCTACTGTGCTAGTGGCTTAGGTTTTGTCTTTGCATTTTATGCTGTGTTAGATTTTATTATTTTGCTATCATGATTTTGGATTATTAATATTGTATGTTAAATTAAATGGCAGAGTGTCTAGAGAAGTTTGTATTACAGGGCATGTAACAAATTTGATAGACAACTACATATTAACATGAAAAAACTTTCGATATGTTATTACAATGCGAGGACTAACATCATTTTCAGATATGTGAAGGTAAGCAGGGTGGGCTTCTATGAAAACTTCACCTTGCTTACATAGATGTGAAGTTTGGTTGCCATATTAGATATGGAGACTTTGCTGTGGGTGGCATATATGAAGTTCTTGTTCGTATAAAATTTCTGTCTTCAAGTAAATGAAATTATAATTATTAAGGGTGCCTATATTACCCATGCTTTAAAATTGGGTTGTCATGTCCAATTTCATAACAGTGTGAAACAATCTACATGTTTTTTTGGTTCTATGTATCTGGAACTGAAACTGATGCAGCCATAGTGAAATTCATTCTCTGTGAGGGAAGAAGGGAAGATCAGTCTTGTCGTACTTCCTGTCAGTTGAACTCCTGTTACAGCCAGTCAATGGTCATATTTCAGAAACCTGTATTTATTCTGATTTCTTTGACTGTGTGGTAGTCAAAAGGAAGGCAGGACGTGGAATAAATTGTTACTCCCTATTTACTTTTGCCATAGTTCAGTTCTGCCTGTATTTCGTCTCTGAAAGGCATTTGCATGAAACTGCTGTATAGTATTTCAAGGAAAGGTGTGTTAATGTAATCTTGACCCTTTTGTCACTTTTTCAGTGGCCCAGCACCTTGGTTATGAAGCCCTTGCTCCATAGCTACCTTCATGCATAGCACCAGAACTGTCTGCTGGCTCAGTTAATGCTGTAAGATTTATTTAAATAAATCATCATTCTTCAGTATGAAGTGCTGCCTGAAAAGCTTTTGGCTAAAGAATGTCCTGTCTTTCTTTTTTTCGCTTTCAAGGAAAAAAGCCCATTTATTGCCTGTTTTATCCCTAAACTTCAGAATGAGGAACACAGGTTCTCCAGTAGTTATGCAGTTAAGAAAAATGAGTCACTGTTTTCTCAGGTGCTCCCAGTACAAATAGAGGTGTGTGTGTGTGAGAGAGAGAGAGAATAGCACAGGAGTTGGAATTTAGGGCAAAACCCTTACTGCCTCTTTTTTCACAACGTTATTTTCCCTATAAAAGTATCTCCCTTTAATTCCCTCTCATCCCACAAATGGTCATAATGCTATCATCCTATACTGATGAACAATTTGTGTGGGTGGTTAAAAAAAAGTGGTTAAACTTTTACTATATGATTTTGAGCTGAAGATAGTACTCGGGACAGCATGTGAATGCTTGCACATGAATAAGAGCTGATATATACATTTTACAGAAGAAAATTGTGGAATGAGATGGGAGACCTGTGAATGTTGAAGTTTCAAACTGTAGCTGGATGACTTCATTTTTTTAAAATGTTCCAGCATGTTTTCAAGTGAATCTATGTGTCTGACATAAACTGCACACTGTGGGAACAGATTTACAGAGCCCATTGCTCCTACTCTATAAGGAAGGTCTTCTTTTTTTATGGAAAGGTTGCAAGAGAAGGGAGAATTAGGTTTATCAGTAGGCTAGGAACAGCATCCACGTTTTTATGCAGGATTCTTCTGTCTATAGGGTGATGGCATTCAGATGTGGTCCTCCCAAATAGCTGTCTGAACTGTTTTTACAGTATATTGGTTATCTCTAAAACACTCTGTTTAAAGAAGGCTAGCTTAAGAAGGAAGCTATGCTGAACATTTGATACCTGATGCCTAATTTTCTATGTGTTGGAGTTTTCCCTGGGAGCATTCAGACATATAATTGTGTTACCTGTAGCTTCAGTCCAGGAAAAGCAAATAAATAGTCTTGAATAATTTGTTACGCTAAGTGTATACATAGCTTCTAATAATTCCTTTCTACTCTTTTGACCACTTGGGTCTACACTGGTAGTAGACTGTTGTACTTCCTCTCTGTCTGTTACCCTCATTCTTCAAATAAGCTTAGATGAAGAAAAAAACCCCCAGAACATTACAGTATATACCCTTGCATACAGAACCATTCCTCAGACTGTTGCAACTTTTTGTTTGTTTGTTCTTAACCCTGTCACAATATTATTTTATCTGTCACCACTTTGACAAGGAATTACTGTATGCTGTTCTCACAAATATGATGTGAACAAACAACTTTTTATTATCTCCTTAAATTTTATCTTCTGAATAACAGTTGATTTTAGTACTGAAAGTTAAGATCAACAGCAGCTTTTTAGAATTGAATGGATTGCCCCCCCGCAAAAAAAAACCCCTCCACCCTGATAATTTTCTTGGAATTTCTTTCTACTTTTTAAAAACTTCAGTAGTTAAGAAAATCATTATGGGATGTCAGTACACTGAGTGTGTATCAATATACTGCCCAGATCATCTCGTCGGTGAGATGGGCAACTGTATGTTGTCTTGTAAGGTGGTCTGTAGATTAGAGATTGAAGCATGCATGGAATAACATTAGCATCCATGGGATAGAACTGAACTTTGGTTGTGTTTGTCTCATGCCAGCCCAGATTTGCCAGGACTGACTGATCTTGTCTGTATAATTAACAGGAAATACAGTATGTGGCATGAGTATGATTAACTCTGGTAACTTAGTCTACATCTTCTCTAGCCTACTAAAACAGTTATTAAAAAGCCCCAGTTGGCCAAATACATGATGAGTGGTAGTGATGACCATAGTCTATGAAAGTTTGTGATTCAGAATGTAAGAAGAGTAAATAGTAAAGACCAAAATTAACAAATGAGATGAAGGAAGGAAAAATAGGTACATTATGTGTCTATGATTCTAAGAGAAAGGGGAAGGATATAAAAGTTATCTGACCTTATGGAGTAAATTTGATGATTTCCTGCAAGTGAACAAAAGTGTAGGTTTAAATATGAACAAAAGGGCTAAAATATATGTTAGAAAGTAAGTTACAGGTGCATATGAAAGTAGAAATCCAGAAGTTGGAGATGTTATACTTCAATGACTGTTGATGATAGAAGAACCAGAGATGAGTTGTGGGAAAAATTAGGCAACCTGTGGTCTAGGGAGGGAGAAAAATCTGTTAGATGGCATGAATGGATATATGGGAACAAAATGAGAGTGTACAAAAAAAGGAGTTTGGTCATTCAGAGACCCAAGAATGAATGAGAATGATGGCTTATAAGCATTGATTTACACCTGTTCA